ATTAATTATATGTTTCGGGGCATTCGATTTTGAAAGCCCCAGGAAACCGAAGGTATTTGAAGGTTTCCACCATTCGCGCGCGACGAAGCGCGCGCCTTTCGCCCCGTTTTTTGCAAATCAGCCTGGAATCTAGATCCACGAGGTGTACATGTAAACTAACAAAGACCGCGAGGTATCCTTGCGGCCTGATTTCGTTTGCCTCCGTAGCCAGCGCATCGCGCAACGCGTTGATTACGCGTTCAGCCCCGTTTCCCCCTGCGCGGTGGAAGTCGGAAGACACGCGCTGCGTGCGTCGATGCGCGCGTCTTTCACGCGAGGGTCACTTTCCGTGTTTCGTTCGACGTGCAGGGCGTTCTGGAAGTTGCTCGACACGCTATGCGGGCGTAGCGCGCTGCGCAGGTCTCGCGGGGAAGCGCCGCTCGATTTTGAACGTGCGTCTGGGGGCTGCTGCGCTTGGCTGTTATGAGAAGAATCCGCTTCAGCGGGCAATTCCTTCCTGCTTCCTTTCTCCTCGGCCATCTGTGCCTCTCCCTATCTGCGTCTGGCCTCCCCCGCCCCGTTGCCGCCCGGGCGGTCCGAAGTTCGAGCCTCGAAGATAGATGTTCGATGCTTTTGTTGCATTCGGGGCCCCGCTTCGTCGCCGCGGCTGGACGCAGCTCGACGAACCAGTTCGTTTGGGTCCTGGGAGAGGGCCTGGGGGCCTTATTGTCCGGAGGAAAAATGATTATTCAGGCAGGCAATGCGTTGCCTTGGCCAGAAGATTCACGCGTGACATCTCGCAGAAAAGCACACGCCGATATGAAACGGCAGGCGGTTTTCATCGCCTCGGCGCGCGGGCGGGCTCGGAGTGGCGGGTGAGGAGGCTTCGGGGCGCCTGGGGCTTGGGGGGGCGGTTCGAGGCTCCCAGGGGCCTCGCGGGTCTTGTGGGAGGTTTCTTCGACCGTTTGGAGGGCTTCGCGGTCCGTCCAGAGGCCGAAGTGGGCCGATTTCAAGGCTGCCCGGGACCCATCTTGGGCCATCCTGCTTTCGAAAGCGCGGGCCCGTGGCATCCTGCGAGGGGTCGCGGCCGCTGTAGCGCGGCTCCTTTGCGTTCTGAGAGGAACAGGTCTGGCGGGGCGGGGGGTGGGGGCGCTCGCGGCGGCGCGCTGGTCGGCGGGGCGGGGCTGTTAGAATGGTGCAGAAGCTTCATCGTTCATCGAACAGCTGACTGACATGCCAGTGCCCCCGCGCGACGCAGGCGCGGCGGCGGACGCGAAGTGGGCCCTGCGCGTCGCGCGCGCGGGGGCAGCCCTGGAGATCGCCGGCCCCTTGCGGGAGAGTGGTCGAAACGATTGGAGTTCTTTGGCCAACGATGGGAGAGGTTTGGCCGACGCCTTCCCAGAGCTCGTCAATCTGTAGTTTTGCAGCTATTTCTCTTTAGTCCGATCTGTTGCAGGCATGCGTCGGAGATTCGCCGCCCCTGGGCGTTCTCGCGACGGCGCGCGCGCAGGGGCGCCCCCGCGATTCCGACGCTCGCGCGCGAGAGGCCCACGCGGCGGCGCGCCGCGAATCTGTTGACGCGCCGAGGGTGTTGAGGAATCCGCAAGAGCGCGAGTGCAGGCTTCGTTTTTTGTGTTGTTTTGGTTTGTTGTTCACGTTGCTGTCGCGAAGCCATGTGTCATTTGTTTTCGGCGCACTCGATTTCGAAATTCTGGCGAGAGCGAAGTGCTTGAAGGATTTCGGCACGCGCGCGCGACGACGCGCGCGCACTTCGTCCTGGCTTTTTGTTGCGAGGGGTTTTTGACAACCGATGAGCGCTGATGCTCGAGTGTGCGCGCGTATTTTTTTGGCGGAGGACGAGGGGGGATGCCAGTTTAGTTGGGATGGTTCAAGTTCATGTTTAGGATGGGCGATGGGGCAGAATCGGCTGCACATTACAATGCGAAAAGGGGTGCCGCTAATTCCGGGGGGGGGGGGGGCGATTAGATCCGAGAGTGCATGTGGCGGAACCGACGCGTGGCATTGCAGGATATGTGGCGCAAGCTACGTAGTGCAATAAATGGTCTGCCCAAATCCGTGGTGCAATAGATGTTGTGCCGTTGATTTTAACAAACGAGTTGGCAGATTCCACGCTTTTGCAAATGCCCCGCCCGCCCACCCGAAACTTGGTTTGCAAAACCACGTGGCGGCGGCGATTGCGATGAGTGCGTGGCGTTGGCTGTTGCATCTCTGCGGCCGCACTAGCCCGCGCATGCTCGCGCGCGCAGCTGTCGGCCTGCGTGGCGCGGCCGCCGTGGCGCTGGGCGCTGGGCGATCCCCAGCTGGCACTTCAGTGCGAGTCGGTGTGGCTTGGGCGGGAGCGGTATCGTGGCGACGCCGACAACGGCAGACGCGATTTCGACAGTAGCGATGGCGACGGAGGTGGCGATGACGACAGCCAGGCCAATGTCGGCGCCGACGTTGATCGCGCCCGCCGACGCCAATGACGATGTCCTAGAGTCGGCGCTGAAGGTTTTGAAGGAGTCCGACATGCGCGCGCGGCCGATGCGCGCGATTGTCGCGCGTTGTTTCATTTGACGCGGATCGTGCCCCCCACCAGCTCGTGCGCAAGGGTGTTCGAATTAACTCGAGATGCGGCGCGAGAGGCCCAGCTGGCAGAATTAGATGAACACGCTGGGCGCGGGATTTTTGTTGACGTTGCAGAAGCGGTTGCTGTTGTTTTGTGTTTTCGGCGCACTCGATGTTGACGTCTACGACGCCTCAGGTTTTTTTTTTTTCTTTCAATTGTTCCGGCACGCGCGCGCACGTCGACGCGCGCGCGTTTTTCGTCCCATTCTGCCGCATGGGATCATGGCGACAGCACGCGCGCAAGTGCGCTCGACCAATCTCGACGCGCGCGCGAGGCCAATGCGGAAGAATCTTCTGAACATGTTGAACAATAGATGGCTGTCTGGGCGCATTTTTTTCATTTTAAACTTGTTGCAAAGCCATGTGTTCTTATGCGCGTGTTCGTGGCGCTCGATTTCGAAATCCTGGCGAAGCCGAAGGGTTTTGCAATGATGTTGGCATGCGCGCGCCGATGCGCGCGAGTACAATTCGTTTTATGTTCCAGGAGGCTATTGTACAGTAGTGGTGTTTGATGCGCGAGAGTGTGCGCATATGATTTTCTGCAGAGGATGGCGGGGGGTGTCGATGCGGGTTGGGCTGGGGTGGTATTGGTGACATGGATAAGGGTCAGAATCATATGCAAGTTACATGCCGCGATGGGGGGGCCGTTAACTCTGGCCTCGGGAAGGGGGTCGAATATGTCCGTATGTTTTGGCTGACTGTTACAAGCCAATTGGCAGATTCCATGGATTTGCAAACGTCCCACCCACACACCCACCCGCAACTTGGTTTGCAAAACGCATTCGGCGGCTATTGCGATTAGTGCTCGGCGTTGGTTGGTGCATCTGTGCGGCCGCGCTTGCCCGCACATGGTCGCGCGCGCAGCGGGCAGCTAGTTTGGCGCGACCGACGCGGCCGCGGTGGCGCTGGCCGCCGGGTTTCTACCCAGGTGGCACGTCAGCACGAGTCGGTGACTTGGGCGGGCGCGGTATCATGGCGTCGCCGACATCAGTAGACGTGATTATAGGAGTAATTACCGCGTTCGAATGTGACGATGACGACGGCCATGCCAATGGCGGCGCCGATGTTGTTCACACCCGCCGATACCAATGACGATGTATTCGCGTCGGCGATGAACGTTTTTTGGAGGCGATCGACATGTGCGCGCGGCTGGCGCGCGCGATTGTTCCGCGTTGTTTCATTTGTCACGGATCGTGCCCCCCGACCAGCTCGCGCGCAAGGGCGTTCGAATGAGCTTGGCATGCGGCGCGAGAGGCCTGGCTGGCAGAAATGCACGCGCAGGTTGGAAAACGATTGGTTTCCTTAACAATAAGATCCCGCAAGAGCGTGAGCGCTGGATCTTTTTGAAATGACGTTGCAGAATCATTTGTTGTTGTTTATGTTTTCGGGGCACTCGATGTTGTTATTTTTACGACACCTCAGGTTTCCCAATCGCTTCGGAATACGCGCGCGACGACGCGCACGTGCGCACTTCGTCCCGCTTTTGCAAAGGACTCTTGCGCTAGCACGCGAACGAAGGCGTTCGAACGATTTCGACACATGCTCGAGAGATGCCAATTCTAGAATTCGCAAATGCTCGGGCGCAAACCTGCTGTTTGCGTATCACTGTTGCGAACCATGTGTTCTTATATGTGTTCGCGACACTCAACATAGCTGCCACACCGCAAACCCGGCCCAGACGACGGGCGGCGACGAGACGGCGACAGGGCGGCGACGGCGACAACATGGCCGCCAGAGCGGCGGGCAAACCCAGACGACGGGTGACGACGAGGCGGCGACGGAGCTGCGACGGTGGCAGCATAGCCGCCAGACCGTCATTTTTTTTGGACCAGAAGTAAGAATCCTGAAGTGCAGGCACTTTTGGGGAAACTTTTTGGGATACCATATAAATTCAGTGTTTCTCCTCACCACCGTGTAGCCGAAAACAATAGCACGAGAGAAGGGGAAGGAAGGCCGTACGCATCGCCTGCGCACCCATTTCTGCAATGAACGGCCCACGGACGTGAGCTCAAACGCATGCGCAGTAAAATGCGCGAGCGACAGAAGGGCATCGGTATCGCTACATCTTTAAACTTTCGGAACTGCGCGCGGATATTTTGGATCGGCGCTGGATTTCTTCCCAGCCCGGCGTGCGGAACACGCCATGGGCGCCGCCGAAGGCGCCGCCAGAAGGCCCAGCGCCGACCAAAGAACCCGCGCGGAGCTCCGAAAGTTCATGATTCCGACTGCCCTTCTAGCTGGGGAAACCATCAGGTACCGACACCGCTGCTCCCCAGACCTTTCCCAGGATGCAACCTGACCAGAATTGCGCGAAGAACCGAGCAGTGGCGACGAGGGCTCTTGAGGACGAGCAGCAGCGTCGGCATATGGCACATTCCTCCTCTGAGGAGCACCTGGGCATCGGTTCGTCGGCTCGCGTCACCGACGCTGGCCTGCGCGCGCTGGCCTCCCTGCCGCGCCTCCGGCGCCTCAGCGCCCACCAGCTGCGCGGCGTCAGCGCCGAAGGGCTCATGGCGCTCCTTGTGGCGGCGCCCGCGCTGCGGGAAGTGGACGCGGAGGGCTGCAGGATTCGGCTGCGGGCAAGAGTGACCCTTCGCGGTGGTGTCCGTTGGTGCGGGCTTACAGGGGCCCCTTCAGGGCTGGCCTGGGCGCTTGGATTTGGCCCCTCCGCGGCCACAGAATGCCGCGCACCGAAAATCACTGTTGTGTACGGCCATTATTGCGCGTAGCCGAAGGCTCGTGGGCGCCGCAGATGGCCCGGCGGAGCTCGCGCTTGGGGAGGCGCTGGCGCAGAGGCCGTACTACGGGGCTCAAAAATATACACCACCACCTCCCTCACCCCTCACTCACAGGAAAGCGGAGAGGAGGAGGAGGAGGAGGAGGGTAGCGGATGGTGAAGGAATCGACGTGGTGGTGGTGGTGGTGGTGGTGGTGGTGGTGGTGGTGGTGGTGGTGGTGGTGGTGGTGGTGGTGGTTCCGGTGGTGGTGGTGGTGGTTCCGGTGGTGGTGGTGGTGGTGTACATTCTTGGGGCCCGCGCGTACGACTACGACCTCTCAGACGGCGAGTCGGAGAGCGATGGCGACGCGGCGGAGCCTCTCGGCGGCGGCCGCGGGCAGGGCGGCGCGAGGCCCGCGGCGGCCGCGGCGCGGCCGCGGAGCGCGGCGGGCCCGTCGGGGTGAGGCGTCGAGCGCCGCCGACGGCGGCGCCCGCACGCCCCTGCCGCGGGGCCCGCCGCTGCCGCTACCGCCAAACCCGTCGCGGCCGCGGCGGCGCCCTGGCGCCGAGGGATCGCTCTGCTTCGACGAGGAACAAGCGCTGCACAGTGGGGGCCCATGCCAAGAAGCACCCCGCTTGCCTCCAGGGTGCCCCTGGGGCTCTTAGGTTTCGATGGTTTTGCCATGGAGAGCAGGGCGTTCCCACACCAAAAGTCAATGGAGGTCCTGGGGTCTCAGGGTTGGGTTTCTTGTGGAAGGTTTCTTGTGGACTGGCCTCCACTGCAACATAAACTTTCAGAGCCCCACGCGGATTTCTTGGATCTGCGCTGGGCCCCCCTGGCGGCGCTTCCGGCGCCGCCCTTGGCGCGCTCCGCGCCAGGGAGGGGGTGCCCAGCGCCGATCCGAGAAATCCGCGCGGACCTCCGAATGTTTATATGTATGCCGCTTTTGACTCTTCCTCTGCTTGCCCTCAGTTGTCAAGGAGGGAAAAACCACCCGGATCCGATAATAGGCGTTTACTAAACGGCCTTGGACGTTTACTAAACAGCCCTGCCCTGTTCGATTCCTTCTTTGGGTGCGTTTACTAAACGGCCTCGCTTGTCGGGTTGGTTATTGTGGGGGTGGATGCTGTTGCCCTCGAAGTTGGGCCCCCCTCTGTCGCCCTCTCCCCCGTCCGCCCTCTCTTCGGTGTCCTCCGCCCCCTCCTTCTCCCCCCCCCTTCTCGTCGTCCTTCCCGCTCCTCCTCCGCCCCCGCCCTCCCCCTCCTCCTACTCGCCCCCCGCCCTGGGGAGGGCCGTGCGCTGGTGGGGAGCCCGGGGCCAGGTCTTCGACGGGGCCGCTGTGACGTTGTTGAGGTGGTCTCGGATCTTCTCGGGTGCATGCCCTGATTGAGCCTCGGGGTTCACTAACAAGCCCAAATCCAGCCTTCGTCCTTCTCCTCCTCCTTCTCCTCCTCCTTCGCCCCTTCTCTCCAGGCTCACAGTGGCCCGTGAGGAAGGTGTAATCGGGCGGGAGGCCGCTTTCCGTGGGTCCGCCTGCCCGTGTCCTAGACGGTTGGGTTGCCGTCGCCGCGCCGTTGACGTCGGCGGATTCCGGCGAGCTGCATGCCGCATCCTTCTCCCCCACGCCCTATACGAAGGCTGGCACGGAGAACGTCCCTCTGAGTTTCACTCGTCCGCCCTTCCCTTCTCCTCCCGCCCCCTCCTCCCCCGCCACCCCCTCCTCCACTCCTTTTCCTCTCCCTCCCCCCTCCTCTTCTCCCTCCCCCATCCCCCTCCAGCCCGTGGAGCTCTGCACAATTGCATTCAGGGTTAGGTAGCCGGGGCGATAGCGGCCCATTCTTCTCTCATTTTGTTACTTGCCTTTTGTCCTCTATCTTCCTTTACTGGTTCTGCTGCTTTTCTCGCCCTCGCCAAGTCCACCTCTTGATTTGGCTGAGCGGGGGTCAGAGTTTCCCTTTATGCTGTTGTCGAGGTCCCGACCTCCAGGACAAAGTCCATCGGCAATGCTGGCGGTCATGCGCGCACGTCAATCGTGCACACAAGAGGCACATACCTCCAGGACGCAGTCTGGCGGCAGTGCCCGCGGTTCTGCGCACAGTCATTTTCTCTGTCCACATTCTCCCGTGTGTTGCGCGTTCTCCCTTTCTTCCTTTTCTGCCCTGCGCCCGCCCCACCCAGCCTTCATCCATTCTCCCTCGTTTTGCTTCCCCTCCCTTTCTCTATTCTCTCCAAGCTTGTACCCTCTCCTACGCGAGTGGGGAACTCGCGGGAGTGAGCGCAGATGAGAGGAACGTCTGTGTGCGCTCGTTACTCGCCTGGAAATTTGAGCCAAACAGTGACCGACACGATCGGTTGCACCAAGAATGCCGCCAGGTGCACAATCCTAAGGTGTGGAATACATCTTTTCCGCGCGCTGCTGCGCCAATTTGGGGGGATGATTTGTCAACGTCGATCCCCGCTCATTGTCTTGTGCTCTATATTCCCCAATCAGTGCTTGCACTGAAGGGGTCCTCGCGGATGCTGAAGGATTTGGCGAAAGTGCCCCGCCGATTTTGGTCGCACGCTGGGTTCCCGGGTCCCCAGGTTCCCGGTTCCGGGTTCCGGGTTCCCGGTTCCCGGTTCCCGGTGTCGGGCCGATTTCGGGGGGCGGCGAGGTTCTCGGGTTCCCTGGTTTTTGGTCGATTTTCTTATCGATCGGTCTCACCATCGATCTCATTACCGATCTCACCATCGGTCTCACAATCGATCTCACAAATCTCACAAAAATTATCCCGGCAAAGCAACCTAACAGCGATGTGTAGGAGCATATCTGGAAGCATTCCCCTCAAGATTCAGATGAGAATCCAGTTGTAGAATTCTGCTGTTCTCGCAGTCGTAGTCGCATTCGCGATGACAGTCGCAGTGGCAACGGCAGTCACAGTCGCAGCCTCAGCCTCAGCCTGCCTCAGCCTCAGCCTCAGCCTGCCTCAGCCTCAGCCTGCCTCAGCCTCAGCCTCAGCCTGCTTCAGCCTCAGCCTCAGTCTGCCTTCAGCCTCGGCCTCAGCCTCAGCCTGCCTCAGCCTCAGCCTGCATCAGCCTCAGCCTCAGCCTCAGCCTGCCTCAGCATCAGCCTGCCTCAGCCTCAGCCTCAGCCTGCCTCAGCCTCAGCCTCAGCCTGCTTCAGCCTCAGCCTCAGTCTGCCTTCAGCCTCGGCCTCAGCCTCAGCCTGCCTCATCCTCAGCCTGCCTCAGCCTCAGCATCAGCCTGCCTCAGCATTCAAAATGTGGCCCAGGAATGGAGTTCTGGGAACTCGAAGAACACGAAGTGGCCTACAGTTGGCTCCGGGCATTCAAAATCATGCCCAGGAATGGAGTTCTGGGAACTCGAAGAGCACGAAGTGGCCTACAGTTGGGCATCCAAAATGCGGCCCGAAGTCGAAGAACACGAAGTGGCCTACAGTTGGCTCCGGGCATCCAAAATGTGGCCCGGGAATGGAGTTCTGGGAACTCGAAGAGCACGAAGTGGTGACAGTTGGCTCCGGTTATTCAAAATGTGGCCCGGGAATGGAGTTCTGGGAGGTCGAAGAGCACGAAGTGTGTGACTGTTGGCTTAAAACGAGCCCGGCTCTGTTCCCGGTTCTTTTCCCCGGCACCCGCCCAGACCCCCCTGTGGAGTCATCAGATGCTCTCTTTTGAGTCCACGAGAAACCTATCAGCAAAAGCTGTTAGGTAATTATCCCGGCAAAGCAACCTAACAGCGATGTGTAGAAGCATATCTGAAAGCATTCCCCTTAAGATTCAGATGAAAATCCAGTTGTAGAATTCTGCTGTTCTCGCAGTCGTAGTCGCATTCGCGATGACAGTCGCAGCGGCAACGGCAGTCGCAGTCACAGCCTCAGCCTCAGCCTGCCTCAGCCTCAGCCTCAGCCTGCCTCAGCCTCAGCCTGCCTCAGCCTCAGCCTCAGCCTGCTTCAGCCTCAGCCTCAGTTTGCCTTCAGCCTCGGCCTCAGCCTCAGCCTGCCTCAGCCTCAGCCTGCATCAGCCTCAGCCTCAGCCTCAGCCTGCCTCAGCATCAGCCTGCCTCAGCCTCAGCCTCAGCCTGCCTCAGCCTCAGCCTCAGTCTGCTTCAGCCTCAGCCTCAGTCTGCCTTCAGCCTCGGCCTCAGCCTCAGCCTGCCTCAGCCTCAGCCTGCCTCGGCCGCAGCATCAGCCTGCCTCAGCATTCAAAATGTGGCCCAGGAATGGAGTTCTGGGAACTAGAAGAACACGAAGTGGCCTACAGTTGGCTCCGGGCATTCAAAATCATGCCCAGGAATGGAGTTCTGGGAACTTGAAGAGCCCGAAGTGGCCTACAGTTGGCTCCGGGCATCCAAAATGTGGCCCGGGAATGGAGTTCTGGGAAATCGAAGAACACGAAGTGGCCTATACAGTGGGCTTTGGGCATCCAAAATGTGGCCCGGGAGTGGAGTTCTGGGAACTCGAAGAGCACGAAGTGGCAGTTGGCTCCGGGCACTCAAAATGTAGCCCGGGAATGGAGTTCTGGGAGGTCGAAGAGCACGAAGTGGCCTATACAATCCAAAATGTGCCCGAAGAGGAATGGAGTTCTGGGAAATCGAAGAGCACGAAGCCTGTCAGCCTCAGCCTGCCTCAGCCTCAGCCTCAAGCCTCAGCCTCAGTCAGCCTCAGCCTCGCCTCAGCCTCAGCCTGCCTCAGCCTCCTCAGCCTCAGCCTCAGCCTCAGCCTGCCTCAGCATCAGCCTGCCTCAGCCTCAGCCTCAGCCTGCCTCAGCCTCAGCCTCATCAGCCTCAGCCTCAGCCTTCAGCCTCAGCCTGCCTCAGCCTCAGCCTGCCTCGGCCGCAGCATCAGCCTGCCTCAGCATTCAAAATGTGGCCCAGGAATGGAGTTCTGGGAACTAGAAGAACACGAAGTGGCCTACAGTTGGCTCCGGGCATTCAAAATCTGCCCAGGAATGGAGTTCTGGGAAGAAGACACGAAGTGGCCTACAGTTGGCTCCGGGCATCCAAAATGTGGCCCGGGAATGGAGTTCTGGGAATCGAAGAGCACGAAGTGGCCTACAGTTGGCTCCGGGCATCCAAAATGTGGCCCGGGAATGGAGTTCTGGGAAATCGAAGAGCACGAAGTGGCCTACAGTTGGCTCCGGGCATCAAAATGTGGCCCGGGAATGGAGTTCTGGGAGGTCGAAGAGCACGAAGTGTGTGACTGTTGGCGAAAAGCGAGCCCGGCTCTGTTCCCGGTTCTCCAGAATGTGGCCCGGGAATGGAGTTCTGGGAGGTCGAAGAGCACGAAGTGTGTGACTGTTGGCGAAAAACGATTCCCGGTTCTCCTCCCCGGCACCCGCCCAGACCCCCTTGTGGAGTCATCTGCTGCTCTCTTTTGACCCTACTAGAAACCTATCAGCAAAAGCTGTTAGGTAACTATCTCACATCGCATGAGCGATCTCGCGATCGATCTCACTATCGATCTCATTGAAACGATTTCACTCTCGGTCTCACGATCGACTTTACACTCGTCCTCACTATCGATTCCACCATCGATTTCATTATCGATCTCACAATCGATCTCAAGATCCACAGTATCAATTTTCAAATCATCCACTGATTGGGTTTTCCCAGGTGTAATTTCTCCTTGGGCTATTTTCGCGCTCGATATACCGCATAGGGCTGCATTCACTACGCAGGCTCTGTAGGTTACCATCTTCCGACTGCCGCCGGCCTCAGGCAATGCCGGCTGTTTTGCGCACGCTTGCATTTTCATGTTGCATCCTCGCTTGTCCTGCTCCCTCTCCCTCGCCTCGTCCTTGTTCCCGTGTCAGTGTCCTTTTTTGTTTCCCCATCTGTGTGTTATCACGTGCTTCTTGCTGGCTGGCCAGGAATGAGGCGTCCTCCTCCAGGACACAGGCCTTTGGCGATACCGACGGTCCTGCGTAACTTTGTACACGCGAGAGGCATTTACTTCGAGGACACGGTCCAGCGGCCAGGCTGGCAATCCTGCGCGCGTATTCCACGTATTAGGCAGTCGCCTCCAGGACTCAGACTGCGGCAATGTTGGCGGTCCAGCGAACACGCGCCATGTGCATACATTTACACGTTCGCACGAGCAGTTCCTCATCCGTAGTGTGTCCCCAAAGAGGTGCGACATCAAACACACAGCCTGGCAGCAATGCCGGCTGTCCTGCGTGCATGGCCACCGCACGTTCGCGCGAATACCAGTGTTCACCCATTTGCTCATATATTTCTTTGCAGGCGTGGCCCCCTTTCTGGGCCTTGTTTCGATTTCCCGCACCCGTGACGCCCCCGAACCTCATTCCCGCGGTGCGTCCCGGTTGAGTGCGGGAGGTCTTTCGCCCTGGCCCTCCCAATTGAGTATCGACCTCCAGGACACAGTTCGGCGACATTGCCAGTGGTCCTGCATTTTTTGTCACACCTGCGCACGTGTTATATGTTTACGCGCACACGACCCCGTAAGTGAACCAGTACCGACCAGCCGCCGGAGGCGATTTCATTTGAGTCGTAGACTGTTCCTCGCCTCCTACACTCCGTGCTATGCGAAAGTAAGTTCTCCCTTCCTGGGAGCAGATCTTTCTTGTCTCCACGGCCAGAGTACAGTTGATATCTGTGGGCACGCAGGCAACCCATGCCCATACATGTTCGAATGGGGCCGTCCCCAGCCCTGCATCTGAGACTGGCTATGTCATTTCGCGCTTCCCTCCGATCGCCGTCCTCGCGCATGATGTCAGTCCCTCCACCTCTCCACCCGCATTCGTGCCATCTGATTCCACTTCGCGCCGCTCGCACCTGCGGCCCACAGAGCTGCCTTGCTGGAGCGAGAGTACCGTCTCCCGAATTCCACCGATGCCTGGTCCAACTCCTATCCCGATCGTTAATGCCGCGAGCCGACATACAGTTCAAGCGTCCGAAACCTGGGTGCCAAGCAAGGAACAAAAACGTTCGCGACCGTATCTTTGTCACCTTGCCATGCATCAGCGCCTCCTTCGCGACCCGACCTTGCGCAAGGTTTGACTTCGCGCGCTCCACCTAATCTTTCCCACTGGAGCCCACTTTGTACAGCTTGCATCTCTTGCCCCCCCACTTATAGGCGGACAGAAGGTACGAGGAGTCAGGGGAGGATAATGAGGGCGGGGATATGGGGACTTCTCTCCTCACCTCCTCTATATTGCCCTGGCCCTCCAAGTATAAGATCTGGGAGGGCATTCCGTGATCGATGAATGTACTGATCGCGTCTATTTGGTGGCCGCGTGGCTCAGGCTCACAGCAGACATTTTAGGCTTGTTGCTAATGCCAGGTGCTTGTGCACCGGCCTTTGTTGGTGGTGCCCAGTACCGGGGGGGGGGGGGGGGGCAAAACATAGATTTGCGTAAATTTGTCCAGGAATTTGTGCAGTCAGGCTGCATAAACCTTAACGCGAAGTTGCGTAAATATGTCCCGACATTTACTTCCCCAATGCACGAGCCATGACTCGAGCAACGATAATTTTACCAGTTTCGACGTCAAGCAGATGTCCCGAGGATGGGCTGGCATCTCCCAGAATCGCTGCTGACTTCTGTGCTTCATGCTGATGCTATGCCCACGCTCCCCTGTCTCACGTTTCCTGGCCAGCCCGCACGTTGACTCGTTATTGTTCCCTTCCCAGCAGAGGCACACCACCCCACCAGCCTCAGCCTCATCTGTCTCCTCTCCACCTTGCGCAGCATGCCCATCCTGCCCACTCTATGTCCTATCACGCCCTTCGCGTTCCCTATGTCTTCACCCTCCCGTTCGCCATTCGCGCGCATCATGTCCACCCCCCTTTCCCCTTCCCTCGCACCCTGGTCACCTGTCCATCTTGCATCAATTGCACATCCTGCCCTCTCCCAGCCCCTGGGGTCCTGATCTGCTCGGTTTCGTCGGCGTCCAGGGTCCACTGGGCCGCAGAAGCCGCTTTCTGAGGCGCGAGTGACCCCAGCCACCCAGTTGTTGGCGACTCGTATTGGTACTGCGCAGGTCCACATGGGAGGTGGCTGCGCCATCAGTCCTTCGCCTCCCCTTGCATCTAGCTATACTCCCGGGCGCATCTTCTCCCCCGTTTCCCTGCTCCGCCCTCCGCCCCCTCCTTGGCCCCCCACCCCACCCCTCTTCCTCGACTCGCCCTGGGAGTCATGCAGGCGATCGCGCTTCGTGGAGGTGGAGGGTGATCAGGACGACGACTTGGATGAGAGCAGGGCGAAGATGGAAAACGGAGAAGGAGTGGTGAGGAGGGAGGGCTTGGGGGCAGGGGGGAGGGACGGCGGGACGGAGGGAGGGAGGGAGTGGCGGAGGAGGGAGAGGAAGATGAAGAGGAGGAGGAGGAGGAGGTGGAAGGGGGATGGGGAGGAGGAGGAAGAGGAGGCGGAGGAGGAGGAAGAGGAATAGGAGGAAGAGGAGGAGTGTGAGGAGTGCGTGGGAAATGTGAGGGTTGAGGTGAGTGGGGGGCGGAGAGGGAGTAGCGGGAGGATCGGATACGGCGGCGATGACGATGACAATGCCGAAGACGATGCCGACGACAAACGCTGTAGCCAATGGGATACATGACGTGATGATGGCGAAACCGTTGTGATGATGATTGTGGTGTTGATGGAGATGAGGATGTTGATGCCGATCTCACCAACGCGACGAGCTACCTGCGCCCGAGAAAGTTAGCCTCTCAGCGTCCCTTCCCGGTGGGACTTCGAGGATTAGGGGCGGATGAAATTCACGACGCTGCAAGAAGGACCTATGTGGGCTCAGGACGGGCTTTGGATTTCGGGCCGTTCTTCAGATCTACTTCGGGGGGCCCATTCGGGGCTTCGTGGCCGAGGTTAGGCGTGGCCAGAAAAAGCCATTCGTTCCTTATCCAATCTTCTTGAGGGAGCGGGGCGAAAACGACGACGACGCCGACGGCGGCGGCGTCGGCGGCGGCGGCGACGCCGGCGGCGGCGGCGACGGCGGCACCGACGGCGGGTGCAAGGGCCCGGCCCGGCGAGCGAGTGGCCGCTTGCGTTGCGTCTGCCCCCGCGCGCCGCGCGCGGCAGGCGAATGCCGACACCGCCGACCCGCGCTTCGGCGTGCGTCTCGGGCTGACTGTTGGGTTTCGGCGGCGGGGGGAAGCGGATCGGAACGGTGGAGATGGGAACGAACAAATGGTGGCGACGATGGATGGACAGGACCGCAGACGTTGTCGATATCAAACAGAAGGTCGCCAGCCCGACAGCGACAGAGCGCGTTCTGCAGGCGCCTGGAGGAGGGGGGGGTTCGGAACCGCGGCCGCCCCCCGGGGCCAGCGCTGGCGCCGGCGGCGGCCAGCGGCGGCGGCCGTCGGCGGCGGCGGGGGAGCGGCGACGACGACGACGACGACGACGACGAAGACCGACGACCACGGCGACGACGACGACGACGTCCACGCACACGACAATGTCTTCGGAGCATGCGTTCGCACATAAATGGCATGGTGTTCTCGAGGGAGCTCTCTTGCAGGTCGGTCTCGCCCCGCGAGGCTGTCGGAGGGAGATCCGGTGTCAGAGCAGGCGCAGGGTTGAAGGTCGTGGCCTGTCCCTTGACAAGGCTACTCAGAAGGTGTTTCTTGGAAGGCGTGGCACACATCTTCCACCTTTGAGGGGAGGTACTTGTTCTGAATTTTTGACGCTTCGCGTAGCCCCACAATTGTTTTCCTTTGGCTGCGGCCACCCTGGTGCCCACGCAGTTGGCCGGGGTTCGGACTCATGCCTTAATTCTACGGAGTTGACCCTGGTCGTCGTTTATCCCGACTTCCTGGTGCTTCCGACGCCCTGCATACTTGCACGCTGGCAGTTCGACTCAGTTTCAGTCACCCCTGCCACCCGCCCGCCGCTGGGCCGCCGCGTGAGGCCTCGGCTTGCTGCGTTAGACGTGGCCTGTTCGCGCTGCCTTTGCTTGATTCGTCCCTGCGTAGCCCGCTTTGACCTGACTCGCCGCCGGCGCGCTCGCCCGCGGCCGCTGAAAAAAGTAGCCCCACAAAACTTCGCTTCCGGTCCACTTAGGTGCCGCTTAGGCCTCCGGTTTGCCGGCGCGTTAGGCAATTAGGTTCGCGCGTAGCCCGCCCGTCACGTTTGACGCCGCCTGCGCCTTCGCTTGCGGCTGCGACAAAAAAAGTAGCCCCACAAAACCATCCAGAAACGACGCCCAGGCAACAAGGTGATCAGGGACGCGTGGAATCAAAGAGGGGGACAGCCGAACCGGTCAAAGGAGGGACGAGGAGAAGGAGGAGGTTCGATGGATGTGCGGAAGAGGGAGTTGGGAGGACGATGATGAACAGGATGAATAGGGGGAGAAGGTCGAGTACGAGGAGGAGGAGGTGGAAGGAGGATCAGGAGGAGGCGGAGGACGAGCAAAAGAGTCAGAGGCATCATGAACGCCTCCTTGGAGCCTCTTGGGATATCTCTTGGGCGCTTCTCCGAGGCCTTCTGGGACGTCTTGGGTATCTCTCCGCGGTCCCGGGGGGCTCTTGGGGCATCTGCGGTGCCTGGGGGCGGGGCCTCTCGGGGCCACGTGGTATCCTCTTGGGAGCCTCTTTGGGCCCTGTTGGGGCCTCTTGGGCGCCATTTGGGGCATGTGGCAGGTTTTGAAAGACAGCGCTCGCTTGCTCAAACTATTGTGGCCTTGCCGGCGTCACGGCCTCCGAGCCCCAAGCGATTGCTGCCCGAAGCGGTGGTCGCATCAACGCAACGCTCGCCACGCTGCCGCTGCTAGCTGCGAGGTGCTCTCTCCATCTCGGGGGAGCAACTCGCAGGGACACTGCCCGTTGACTATCAGACCTGCGTCGAGGCGGCCTGGAGGAGAGACAGCACACCCAGCACAGAGCGTGCGGATCTGCCGGTCTGCAATGCAAATGCAGGATGGTGCGCACCTACAGTGGGGGCCCATGCCAAGAAACACCCTGCTTGCCTCCAGGGTGCCGTGGCTTTCTTGGGTTTCGATGGTTTTGCTGTGGAAAGCGTAACGTTCCCACACCAAAAATCAATTGACGTCCTGGGGTCTCAGAGTTGGATTTCTTGTGGAAGTTTTCTTGTGGACTGGCCTCCACTGTATTACACTCATGCACGTACAGATGCACACTCCTGCAAGCGCACGTTCGAGGTCGCGGCGCGCACCACCGCCAGCCCCCATCAACAGTGGGCGGCTCCTCATGTTCGGCATGTTGCTGCTGTTGCATCTCCTGGATGCTGCTCGATGTCTCGCTGCATCCTTACGGAACGGTCAGCGCGGTGGCATCTTACTTTGAATCTGCGGGAAAAGTTGGGCGACCGGGCTCGGGTGATCAGGAAGGTCAGCGCCGGCGAAAGAGAAGCATACAGACGTCGGGAGCCTTGAGACGGAGGTCAATGCAAACGGGGGTCAGCCAGGGCGCCAGATCCTGCAGGATCCTGCGAAGACCCCCTCTGGCTGACCGGGGTTAGCGAACCGCTCGTGGCCGCGAGGCGGCCGCGCGTATTGGCTGACCCGGGTTGGCGAGGATCAGCGTTGCAGCTTTTTCCTGCATTGCAGTTTTTGGTTTCCTGCTGACCCGGGTCTGGATTGACCCGGGTCAGAAGATCCCCGAAGACGATCGCAGAACAATATGTTATCTGCCAGGCTCCGCGGTGAAGCACTGGTATAGTGACTTGCCCGCCCGCCCGACCCGAATTGACCCGATAGGTTTCTCGAGCATGGATTCGATGCGTTTTTGAATGTCCAGCCCGCCCGACTTGGCCCGCCCGTTACGGTCCGCCCGACCCGGCCGGCCTTTAGGGTCCGCCCGCCCGACCCGACTCGCTTGTTAGGGCACGCCCGCCTGACCCGACCCGACCAGTTAGGATTATCTCGTGTCGACTCGATGCTTACTTACATCATACTGAAAATGCCCCGCCCGCTCCACCCGAACCGCGCGTTGGGGCGGCCTTGCCCGATCCGTCCCTTCCGCTAGGCTCGCGCACGCTAATTCGATGATCATTTTTGCTTGTATGTACCGCCCGCCCGACCCGACCCCCCGCGTGATTGTCGGCCGAGTCTGTCCTTCCCAGCCCCGCCCCTGGGACTGGCCGCCCGACCTGCGCGTCATGGCACGCCCACCCGACCCGACCCGCCCGTTATTGTGATCCGCCCGCCCGACCCGACCTGCCCGTTGGGGCTCGCGCGTGCCATCTCGATAATGCATCTTTCTCTCAAATTTAGTTGATGGCGTCAGCGTCGTCGTCGTCGTTGGCATTGTCTTGGTCTTCGTCGTCGTCGTCGCCATCGGTTTTCGTCGTCGTCGGTTTTCGCCGTCGTCGTCATAGCATTCGTTTTAGCATTTGTTGTATGTTTGAATATGTTTGGACTATTGTCTATGTGTCTTCCAACATCCGCCTGTATGGGGAACATGCCCGACCTAATCCTGGTCCTCATCCACCTCATCATGCTCCCCCGCCCCTCCTCTCTATTGGGAAGATGGCTACACATAGCCGGGCCAGCCTTTGGCGAAGCTGCACGCACACGGGGCCACATGTCTCGCTGTCACACTCTGCACGGCGCCGCACGCCCCGCACCTGAGACCAGCACTGTGTGTGTGTCCTCTGCCCAGCGAAGCGGGTGAGGGAGCCGACGCCGAGGCCTGCTTTTGCGCAGATCCTGGGACCTGCTAGACTCCTGGAACACCTTCGCGCTGTCCAGCGCGCTCACGGCATTGGCGAAGGTGCCACCATGGACCCAGACGGTTACGGGTTGGAGGGGTGGAGGAGGGGGGGGGACGAGCATCAGTAGCAGGAGGAGAGTTTGGGGAGGAGGATACATAATGTTTCTATACACGTATATCGAGATACATACATACCCGTACATATGTATATATATATATATCTATATTATATGAATACATATATATAGAGGAAGCACGAGCGATATACATTATATACATATAGATAGAGAGAGAGGGAGAGCGAGGAGGATTCGGAGGCAATGGGGGCAGAGGGGGAGGGGCACAGGCAGGATGAGGAGGATGTGTGCATGTGGATGAAGATGTTCAGGTGAATGATGAGAGGGAAGATGAAGAGATTAGGGTGGGGGCGGGTGAGGATGAATCGGAGCAGCTGGGGGTAGTAGGAGGTGGAGTGTGATGATGAATTTTGGGGCATACTACCAGACATTGTATTAAGTGCATTGGTGGGAGTTTCTAGGTACATGAGTGGGAGTATCGAGGATGCCTACGTCGAGTCTCTGCCATCCCCTGCCTTTTCAGAAGCGCCTATGTGGCCTAACGTTGTGGCCAGAGCTCGGCCAAGCTGTCGGACTATGTGCTCCCCCAGCCGTTGTGGAAACACTTCGGGGAACACGTGAATGATAAACAAGTGGCACGTGTGCCACTGCTCTTGCACAAAAAGGAAGGGGGAGGATAAGGAGGTGGAGGAGGAGGGGGGAAGAGGGGGCAAGACATCGCCCCTTGGGGCCCAGCAACGGCGCCCAAATCCCAGGTGGGGAGGGGGGGAGGTGGTGTGCGTCGCGAGGCGGAAGAAAGTGCTCGGAGCGGAGGGGGCATAGGACGGAGGTCCCACTGGGGCGCTGGGGGCGCGGAGACGATCGGGGGGGGAGGTGGTGTGCGTCGCGACGCGGAATAAAATTGTCGGGCCGGAGGGGCATTGGGCGGGGCTTGGGGCAGAGGGCCACGGGGCGGGGGTCCAACTGGGGCGCTGGGGACGGGGGGGGAGGTGGTGTGCGTCGCGACGCGGAATAAAATTGTCGGGGCGGAGGGGGCACGGGGCGGAGCCCCCACTGGGGCGCTGGGGACGCGGGGAGGGAGGTGGGGGAGGTGGTGTGCGTCGCGACGCGGAATAAAGCGTTCGTGGCGGAGGGGGCAGTGGGCGGGGCTCCCGCTGGGGCGCTGGGGACGCGGGGGGGCTCGGGGCAGAGAACCACGGCGCGGGGGTCCCACTCTGGCGCTGGGGACGCGGGGGGAGGGGGTGTGCGACGCAGAATAAAGCGTTCGTGGCGGAGGGGGCAGTGGGCGGGGCCCCCGCTGGGGCGCTGGGGACGCGGGGGGGCTCGGGGCAGATAGCCACGGCGCGGTGGTCCCACTCTGACGCTGGGGACGCGGGGGGGGGGTGCGACGCGGAATAAAGCGTTCGTGGCGGAGGGGGCAGTGGGCGGGACTCCCGCTGGGGCGCCGGGGACGCAGGGGGGCTCGGGGCAGAGAGCCACGGCGCGGTGGTCCCACTCTGGCGCTGGGGACGCGGGGGGGGAGGGGGTGTGTGCGACGCGGAATAAAGTGGTTGGGGTTCTAGACACCCTGTGCAAGATAAGAATACCAATAATAAATAATAATAATAATAATAATAAGAAGAAGAAGAAGAAGAAGAAGAGGAGGGTATCTAGAAACATGGAGGAGGAGGAGGAGGAGGAGGAGGAGGAGGAGGAGAAGGAATGTTCTTGGGAGCCTCTTGGGGCATTCTTGGGATTTCCTGGGAGATTCACGAGGGTCTCTTGAGGTCCTTTGAGGGCCTCCTGGGAGCCTCTTTGGCCGTCTTGGGGCGTTCCTGGCGCGTCAGACGCCGCTGGAAGCCGTCTCGGGGGCCACTCTGGGCCGTCCTGGGGCCTTTGTTGGGGGGCGCTTCGCGTCGTGGCGGCCATCTTGGGCGCCTTGCAGGTGTCTTGGGCCCTCTCGGGGCCGTCTTGGGGGACTCGTGGTTTTAAGTCGGGCATGTCCCTCGGCAGGAGGAGTCTTCCCAAATAGCCCCAACATAGTCAGGGGGTGATTGTTCGTGCTCCTCTGACTCTTTCTGTTTATTCCTGGGAAGGGCTCCGGCCCAGGGTTCTCTTTTAGAGGTTTTACCCCTGGCCTCGACGGTTGCAGGACCGTCGAATGTAATCTGCGAGAGATAACCAGGTCGAGTATGGCTGGCGAATTAAAATGCGATGATGTCCCGAGCGAGACGCTCGTGTTGCAGAAATGGTTGAGGATGTCTCGAGCGTAACGATCGTTTTGTGTTATAGATTGTCCTCTCCTGGGGGCCAGGGATCAGAGGATCTCTCAAGTGAAATACTTGTTTTCACGTGCCCAGGTCCTGAGGATGTCTCGAGCGAGACGCTTGGTTTCACGCGTCCAGGTTGCCCAGGCAGATGTCTAGCATGAGGAGTTGGTGAGGATGTCTCGAGCGAGGCGCCTGTTTTCGTGCGTCCAGGTCGCCCAGGCGGATGTGTAGAATGAGGATGTGTTGACGAAGTCTCGATCGAGACGCTTGTTTACACGTGTCCAGGTTGCCCAGGCGGATGTCTAGCATGAGGATGTGTTGAGAATGCATTAAGCGAAACGCTTGTTTTCACGTGTTCAGGTCGCTCAGGCACAGCACAGCCCTCGGCACTGTACATCAAGATCGATACACTCAGCATTGCAACTTGGCACGTTCCCTGGCACGTTCCGTGGCGCGTCCCGTGGCAAGTCCCCCTGGCACGTCGCGCGGCGCGTCCCCTGGCACGTCCATTGGCGCGTTCCGTAGCGCGTCCCCATGGCACGCCCCGCGGTGCGTCCCCATGGTACGTCCCCTGGCACGTCGCCTGGCGCGTCCCTTGGGACGTTCCGCGGCGCATCCTCCTGGCATGTCCCCTTGTCAATTAGCTTTGGGGCAGCTACTATGTGCTCAGGCAACTCGAGCTCAAGATCCAGATCAGTTCGGTCAGGACTCGGATGCAAAAGAGGACTCGATCCACAACGCTATAGAACACAATCGCGGCATGGCACATCGCAATGCAGCACGGCTCAGCACAGCACAGCCCTCGGCACGGTACATCAAGATCAATTCACTCAGCATTGCAACTTGGCACGTTCCGTGGCGCGTCCCGTGGCGAATCCCCCTAGCACGTCGCGTGGCGCGTCCCCTGGCACGTCCCGTGGCACGTCCATTGGCACATCCCGCGGTGCGTCCCCATGGCACGTCCCGCGGTGCGTCCCCGTGGCACGTCGCCTGGCGCGTCCCTTGGGACGTTCCGCGGCGCGTCCTCCTGGCATGTCCACTTGTCAAATTGCTCTGGGGCAGCTATTCTGTGCGCAGGCAGCTCGAGCTCAAGATCCAGATCAGTTGGGTCAGGACTCGAATGCAAATGAGGACTCGATCCACAACGCTACAGAGCACAATTGCGGCATGGCACATCGCAATTCAGCACGGTGCAGCACAGCACAGCCCTCGGCACGGTACATCACGATCGATACACTCAGCATTGCATGTGCCTGTCTGTCGCCCAATCAGGTGATTTTCAAACGTTGCCATGCCTTATTATTTCTATATGCCCAGGGGCCCCCCGGGCGCCGCGAAGACGGCCCAAGAAGGCTCCAAAAGGGCGGCCAGACGGCCCAAGATGGGTCCAGGAGGCGTTCAAGACGGCCCGAGAGGCCGTGGAGATATTCCAACGTGGCCAGAGAGGCCCCAAGAGTGGCGCAAGATGCTGCAAGAGAGCTCCAAGAGGCGCAAAGAGGAGGCCGAAACGGCGAAAAAAAAAGAAAATCCCTAGGGTTTTGAATGTTTTTGGCTTCTTCAGTTTTCCTGCTGAACATGCGTCGAAGAGAGCTTCGGAGGGTCCGAGACGGCCCTGGAGGTCCCCCAGAAGGGGCCAAATGAACCCAAGAGGGGTCCAAGACCCAGGAGGGCTTCTGGAGAGGTCCCAAACAGCATCCGGAGGTGTCCGTAAGTCTACCGTGCGAGGGCCTACTTGAGTTGAGGGCAAAATGGCCGCCAGCAGACGCCTGGCGCCAAGCCCGGGACCCGGGGCCGGCGGAATGAGCAGCCCGCGAGGAGGACCCCAGGAGGGGTTGCCAGGGCTCTGAGGAAAGAACTTGCGAGGAGTGCGTGGGCAAGGGGACTGAGGGGAAAGGATTCTTGCAGACCACGCGGTGGGGCGGCGGTTCGCTTCGCTCACTCCGCCTGCGCGTTCTTGACCTCTTGGAGGCCGTTTGGGGGCCTCTTGGATCCCCTTTTTGGGCCTCTTGGAGGTATTTCTAGAATCTTCTGGGGTGTCACAGGGGCCTCTTGGGGGTCTCTTGGGGCGTCTCGGGGGCCTCTTGGGGGCTTTTCGGGGGCCTCTTGGGGCCCCCAGGTGACCTCTCTGCGCCTAGAGCTCGACATGTCCGTTCGGGTCCCTCGTCTGGGCCCGCTCTTGGAGCCGTCTTGGAGCCTCTTCGGCCGTCTTGGACGCCTTTGGGGTTGGGGCCCTCTGGGGTCGTTTTGGGCGCTCTTGGAGGCCTCTTGGGCCGTGTTGGGGCGATTCTGGAAGCCTCTTGGGCCGTCCTGGAGCGCCGGTAAGCCGAACAGGCGAGAACGCCAAGAACTTTCAAAAACTATTGGGAAATAACTAATTTCTGCCTCTGTGGGCCCTCTTGGGAGGTCTCTTGGAGGTCTCTTGGAGGCCTCTTGGGGCATCTTGAAGGCGCTTTGGGCTCTCTGGAGGCCATCTTTGGCGTCTTGTGTCGCTCTTGGACCGTCTCGGACCACGTTGAGCTCTCTTGGAGGCCACTTGAAGCGCTCCTGGAGCGCTCGTGGGAGCCTGCTGGAAACTGGCCATGACCTCGCCGGGACCTGCCCGGGACCTTGCCGGGACCCGCCCGGGACCGGTCTGGGACCTTGCCGGGACTTGCCTTGGACCTTGCCGAGGTCTTTTCGTCCGGAAACCCCAGGGGCAGCCCCGCGCGCGCGAACTAAAAAAAATACTGTTGACCAGTTACCG